TCATCAGTTAATATTAAATTGGTTTCAGATAGGAAAAAAGAATTTTCCTTGCAGTGCACTAAATAATTTGCCTTTATATAGACTGCATAAACTACATTTCTGAAGAGGAACAAACAATTATTGTTCCATTTATATAAGTGACAGTGGATGGCTTCTCACAGATTGACAGTAGGCATCCCATACTTTCAGTATTTTGCTCTGTATCTGACTTTCATTATTTGATCATTTTTTTACTTCACATAAATGGAAAAATATCTCATGGCAAAACCACAAAAGGATGGTGTTTCGTAGCACAAAACTCTGGAATTAGGGTATTCCAGTCTTCACAACAGCAAGACAGTCCTTTGTGTCAGGGTTAGAAATGGCCATATATAAAACCAATCCATATAGCTTGGACAGTTGATGGGATAATGTGGCATATAACATACATGAGGTGACAGTCCCCAGAGGCACTGTCAATATCAGTTCTCATGTAGCCTAAAACCAGTTCTGATACCCACCTAACCCCTTGTGCCTGTCACAAGGTGTCCAGGAACAGCTGCTGGGAACAGCCTCTGCCCTCTTTGCTTGGACAGAAAGAACATCATTTTCCCATTTCTTCCAGCCCCAGCTGCCAAAGTTGTTTGCTCAGTTCCAGGGCCAGCCAGACTGAAATCTTGCCCCCTCTGGTGTCCCTTCAGCCAGCGGCTGCATCAACATAAACTGTAAGAGAAAGCGAGGGAGACCACTGCTCACAGCAATACCTGCTCCTGGAACAAGCAAACCTTTGCCCTCCTCTTCAGCTCAGTGCTGGCAAACTGAAACCAGGTCTGCCCTGACTACGAGCACCCTCCATGGGAAGCAGCGGCTTTATCATGCCAGCTATAATTTTCCAGGGAAATGACACTTCATCACTGAAAACCTTAGGATGTTGCCACCATAAACCAATCACTACACAAGCCCTTTAATTGCTCTCCTGTCTGCATTTACTACACAGTGGGTTGTGAAACAAAACGAACCAAAGAGCAGTATTAACCACCGCACATTTCTGATTTTTACCACACTATGTAATGATTTTCTAGAATTGCCAAAGCTTCCTATTTCTGCAGAACTTCAGTCTTCAGTTCATCAGTGAAACATCCACTCTTTCTACTTTGTAAAAGTAAAAGGGAAATTTGCATCTGTTAAGGAAACTTCCCTGTCTGACCATCCAGGAGTTTCTCTGGCAGTCATTCTCGCACCACCTGAGCTAGGACCAAAGCTCCTTCACAGCTACACACCCCACACTCAGTCAGATTACGTTTCTTTAGTGGTTCGACCCCAAGTTTCCCATAACAGCCTCAGACATCCAGACCCTTAAAATAATTTAATCGTGGTGTAATAACTAAATAACAAAATAGCAGCTTGAGGTGGTGCCTCCAAGGAGGGACCGCACAAAGGAACCCCTGGGCTCTTCTCCCCTCACAGTCTAAGGCCGGGAAAGTCTGGGGGTCTGTCTGGGGGTCGTGGGCTCCTGCCATGCCTATGCCACAAGTCCCTGGGCCCTTTATTTTGCAAAGGGTCGGCAGTTCATGGCCTCTTTCCTCAGGCTCCAGCTCCCGCCCCCCAGAGCTCGATCAGCGTCTCCCAAATTATATTCCTCAACATATCTTTGGAACAACCTACATCATGTTTGACCTTGAGTAATGACCTGAGGTTTACTGCAGGTTATTTGTTCACATACTGGTTGTTTTCAAATGTTTTGGCACATTTCAGCATCCCCTCTGATTTTAATAGGAAAAAAGAACAAAACAAAACCTAAACCCATCTGTGCAGACAGTAATCTCACAAATACATCTGTGCACAATCTAAGAGCTATCAATTCAGGTTACCACAAGGTATATTTATCATTAATCTTTTCCCAGACTGTACTGGGGTTTGTTTCTGTTTAGATTTGAAACTTATGAATGAGACCTACAGATTTGTTAAAAGTTCTGCTCCCCCTTCATGGTATTGCAGAAGTACATCTCTTTTCTTTTTGCTATTGGAAAATGGCATAAATAGAAACTCTTCCTACTGGCTACAAAAAAAAATTAAATCCTCATTCCTATTTAGAAAATTTTACCCCCTTGCTGCTTTTCCCAAGAGTCCCTGCAAAATACTGAGTAATGAGTTACACACACATCTTTCTGCTGTAGTTTATTCCATGGCAGTTGAAATTGAGTAATATTTGTTGCATTGTTTTAATGATTTACTGTTAATAAGAAATTTTTAGTGAGCTGTAACCCATTTTTACTTCAGATCCATAAGAAACCTAACGGTTCAAGTATCTCTTAGAGCTTTCTCACATTCTACCTAAAGGAAGGAAAACTTATTTTGCTGCTAAAACTTTACCCACAACTCATTTGTTTCAACTTACCAGCGAATTTATAGAAAAAAAATCCAGGAACTACCTAAGTAAGAATAATTTTTTCCCTTTTTTACATAGCTATTACTAAGAACTATGCAAAAAACCCCAGGGATTAGCTTTTCATTGTCCCTGATACCAAGAACTACCAAGATTTCAAAACCAGTGCTCCCCAGTACTGAACAGCTTCACTCTCCACATTCACCATCTCCCTTTGGACCTGATTACAAAGGTTCAGTGTTGCTACCTTTTCCAATAGATTTGATCAGTTAAATAAATATTCTGAGTCAGTACCAGAGTTCCTGTGGGTATTACACTGTTACACACTGAACAGCTTCGAGGGCCGTTCAAAAGCTGAGACCCTAAAAATTGTCAGCATGGTGCCTGTACTTCCAAGCCTTGCCTTTGCCTTTAGCTGTTCCCAATCTTCCAGCACAAAGAGCTCTTTAGTGCCAGCAATGCGCTCTGCTGTGTAGATATACCTGTTTTCCTCTGCTAAGCACCAACATCAGCTTCTGCAAGAGCTCAGAGAGATGGCAACTCCAGGCCAGTTTTGGGACATGTCTTTATTCCTGCTCTGCTTTATGATTCTCCTTCTTCTTATGATACATCTTTTTTTTTTTTCACAGCTCAAATATGTAAATGAACAGCTACTCCAGAGGTTTTATCTCTGTTCCTTTGTTTGTTTTAAAAAGCGTTCCCTTGCTTCTTCAAAATTAGTCTGAAGGAAACCTGTAGCATCTTTTAGTAACTAGTATTGTAGGAAGTAAATAACAGAATTGATAGCAAGCAACTGCCAGCTCCCTCCCTGCAGCAGCCTTCAAATAACAACAACAACAACAAATAAAAAAAGGAGAAGAAAGAAATCTGGTGCAATGCTGGCATGAAAGACACATGCTTTGTGCCAAGCTCCAGGCACCATACAGCCCAGAAACTCTGATTGACACCCTCACACCCAGATGAGTTTATAGCATTTGGCTCCTTGTCAGTGCAAAGGTAAACCTGAAGTTCTCCTTTGCCACAACAATAGCTCAGAAATACAATTTTTCTGGATATCTTGTAGCCATTCTAGTACAGTATTTTCTTTTCCTCCTGTTTTCCTCCTTCTCTAATCCATACTTATAGGCTGGTTCATAATTGCACTGAAAATCCTTGATTCAGAATAGGTTTACAGCACTTAAATCTTGTAATGCCACTGACCACCATTATCACCCCAAATTATCTTTGTAATCGACATGGAACTGAAATACATCAGCCTCCCAAAACATTAGATACTCTTTGAGCAAGGACCATCTAACATCTCCATGCCAGGTCTCTATAAAATCAATGCAGAAAAAGTCTCATAAAAATTAAACACTTACCTGTATTCTCTGATTCCACATATAAGCAGAATCTTTTTTCCCCAAATTGATTTGTCAACTCTCTTAACCCCTGCTTTCCAGAATGCCCATTTTGTAGAAAATCTGCTCCTAGGAGCTGCTGGTCACCATTTCCGTCAATCTTCCCAAACACATGGAGCCAGAACAGCCTGGTTTTCCACTCATGAGACTTCTGGAGATTGTTGCCTCAACAAAGCCTCTGTCATCCTTGGGTCATTTGAGGACAATTCCTAAGAATTGTCCCAATTCCTCTGTGGACAGCGTACAGCTCCTGAGTGAGGTTAGTCATCTCTATACTCATGAAAACTTCCACTGCTTATTCTCAGTTCTACATGCTGCTTCTGCTAAAAAGAGAAAATGACAATGAAGCCGAGTATTTATTTCAAGCATTTCTACTTGAAGCTTGGATACAGTAGCAACTTCTTTGCTCATATTCCCAAACTTCTTTCCAGAGAGTAATCAATGCAAAAAAACTTCATTTCGGCTTCTCTGAGAGCCACATCACCAGTTTTTATTGCTGTCTGTTCCTTTCTAACACCTCCACTTCTACCAAATAAAAATCAGCCTCTGGCACAGCTCAATCCATACAGTTCAGCTTCTGTTCAGCATCTCACGTGGACAGTGCTCTCACAAGCAACTCAGTTACTTTACTTTAAAAAAGAACTGCTTTTTATATAAAGATACTCATAGCATCATCTCCCATAAAAATGTACCCTGCCTTTGTAAACCACTACAGATTAGTGACCAATCAGAGACCAACAAAATCATTTTGTGTTGTTTTTCTAAGTATGTCCCAGAAAAGTAAAGGTACACTGAGTTTACCATTCTTAAAATCGTGGCACTGGTTTTGCTGTGCCTTGTCCTCTGTGACTAGCACAGGTGTAAACTTCAGGTTATTACCCTCCATGGCACTGACATAAAAGGAGTACCAAGAACACTTTACTGATGTGAAGCTCGGATTGAGCAGCAGTCAACCATTCCTCTTCTGCATCGCTGAAATTAACTCCCCCCAAGTCTCCACTTAAAGTTCCAGAAATATCCAGCTAATTCCTTCAGTGGAGCAGTTCGATGTTGCCAAAAGTGGTCCCACAGAGGCCTGCAGAGTACCCCACCTCCACCCCACAGGCATCAAGATCCAGAGTAACACAGGGAATTGGCCTGTTAAATTCAGCTCCAGAAAACTCTGATCATTTGACTGCTTCCCATAGGTGCAGGAATGTAAAAGGTGACAGTAGGAAAAGAAGCACAAAGCAGAGTTATGGTTCTCATGCAGAGATCTTTTGTATCAAGTTTCATCCTAAAATAGCTCTTTGCATTCACGTTATAATAGATAACAATGCACACATATAATGAATCATAGACATTTAGAATGGGAAATACTAATAAAACATTGACTCCAATTTCATGATCAGCTATGTTCTAATGCAAGATACAAACAGATAACAGGTATTACATTAAGAAACACAAAGAAAATAAGTGCAGCAGTTGTTAACTTATTAGCATAAAATTAAAGTATCTGAATGCATAATTAACTGCAAGTATTAAGGTATTCATTTTTAGAGTCCAAAGAATTCCTTAAATGAATGTCTTTTAGGCAAATTTTTCTGTCATTCTGAAGAGTTCTCTTCACTGTGGGTTAATACTTTGAAGTTAGACAGCACAAACTAATACAAAAGCCAATACGTGAACACAGCACAGAACAACAGCTGCAAAACGGCATTGCCATATTCACATTTCAAGTTCCATTTATGTCTATAATTAATATAAATAATCATAACTCTTGCATAAGATAACATAAAAATATGTACACATAGAAAATATAAAGCCAGAACAGAGTGTTGCCAGTGTTGCATGTGTTATGCACTAAAAGACAGGATGATAATGCTTAATACTACTATAAGATATATGAAAGTTGATTCCAGCAATTGCACTATTTCATAATATAAGCAATTTCAGTTTCAAACTCTGGCAGAAATACAGTGAGTGCAACCTTTCATCATCTTATTTCAGCTGTACTATAACATGATTATGTTTGTATTTTCACAGATAAAGCTGAACAAATCAAGGGACACTCGGTTTTAAATCACCTATATGCAGGGTTTATTAAACTATTTTTAAGGGAAACAACATAAACAAAATATTTTTTCCACTATGAAGTTTCTTTAGGTTCATTACAGTATTTCTGCATATAATTTATACTAATCTGAGTTTTGTAGGTCAGAAATAAGAGACAAATGATCTTATTATAGGAAAATGAGACAAACCACAAACCTGCAAAAATCAGCCTTATTCACAAAACAATCAAAACTACTTTCAATTATTTTTAATTGATTATGCCAAGGATTTTCGTATATGAGTTTGTACAGTGTCCTGTCCTTCCTCCAACATCAAATAACAAATCAGAGTCAGAGGTGCTGCAGGAATTAATGAGACTAAATATGAAAAGCAGGTGAATTCCTAATACTGATTATGTCCTCCATTAAAGTCACTTCCCTCCTCTAGATCTTTCTTGTTTTCTTAACCCATTTTTTGTTTTCTTTACACTTAATACGCCAAGGTATTCAAAAAGACCAAACAAACCTCACTTTTGTCCTAAAAACTTGATTATTCAAGTTGTCAATCCTATTGCAACATCTTTCATTTTAGCCTGATTTTCAAAGGAAACTATGGTTACATATCTATGCTGTCTGTACAGAAGCATGCATATTTACACTATGAAGTTCTCCCAGAACTTTTTAATTTAACTCATTTCAATTAAAATGAGAGGTTAACAACCTGAAAGAAACCAAGTACCTAAAACTTTGATGAACGAGGTAACAGCTGAAGAAATGCTATTCATACTCTAAAGATTCATGCAAACAATAATCAATTTATGCACAATCAACATCAGGCACTCGGGAACCCACCTGGGAGAATACCATCAGGAATCTATCTTCTGCAGGGAAGGCTTCATGTGTGCTATTGTTTAGAAACAAGATAGGCCACCAGAAACAAGGCTTTACTAACCATGCATTTTGAAGAACTACTTATAAAACAATATCCAGAAGAAATCTAGCTTCTTATTTGTTAAATCATTTTTGATTTGTGGATTTCTTCTTCTTTGCAACTGAATTGTCAGATTCTGATAGTTACATACACTTCACAAACTTTTTAAACTCTGATAGGCATTCTTTAACAACGCTCAAGAGTTTTGACTTTTCCCTGCATTTTGTTTTTCTGTATCTGCATGTTTTGTTCTTCTTCTGTGTCTGCTTCAGTTCCCTTGGAGGGCAGAACATGCACCACAGTACCTATTTTGACGACTTTTGTGCCCCAGGGGCTCACAGGCTTTCCCATCTCTTTTTACAATAAATGCAAGCAAACCATCAGTTAACAGACAGCTGCAACATCCTTCCAAAAGAACAGCCTTGAAGAACATTGTTTACTCGTCTGAACAGAAGATATCCTCCTACCCTTCAAAATAAGTGACTGACTGATGGGTAGGCAAAAGCATTTGCTTTAACAGAATCAGACTGACATCAGTTTTCATGTTCTCTGCTGTCTGAACAGTATCAAGCTGACCAGATTTGTAATTCTCCTGAAGCACATCAAACCAAGCAAAAAACCTGCAGTCCTTTCCTACACCGAACTTGTGGATTTGTCCAATGTAAGCTAGTGAGTAACAAATTTAACTATGGTAAAAATCCATTGTATAAACTGCATTTTACAACTCCTGAAATATAGAAATCATCTAACTTCTTACAATTTCATTTGGCAGAAAGATGAGCGCAGATTAGGAGAGCTACAACTTACCCAATTCTCATTTGCTCTTTTTATCTGTTTTTTTAATTAGCTGTTTGAGAATGCCAGCTCTGGCCAAACAGTTGACCAAGAAGGCATCAGGCAATAAAACTCAAGAAAATACATCAGTTTATATTCAAGTGCAACTGGCAACCACTGACCCTACAAATAGCTTTTCTTGTGCAGCTAATTACAGTGACTTTTCTGCAGGGAGAAAAGAATTAGTGAGTCTGCATCTAATCTTGCAAGAAAGATGACCACAACTTATGCCTCAATTATTTTTTAAGTCACATGCAATTTGAGATCACATGAGTAGGTATGCTATTCAACCCTATTCCCAAAATCAACAGAAAGCATATACAACAGATTTATATGCATGTTGGATATGGCCCCAGGCAGATTTTAATGGCAAAATATTGTGATATGGGTTGTGCTAAAGTACCTTACTATTCTTGTTCCAGAAATTTGGAGGGTTTTAAAGTAAAGATTTGGCTTAGGACATGAAATCCTTCTGGCAAAATCTTACAACATTTAGTTTTGCAGAGAGATACTGATTATGTTTTCGTACTGTACATGCATAGGCCTTTTCTTGGGTTTGATACTTGTCAGATCCGCATAGCATAAGGAGAGACCCCCGGCATCTTTTCAAGACTATACTCCACTGACACAGAGTTTTTCAACATAGCTATTTTACCTGAGAACAGCTCAATTCTGGAAACTGTAGTTTAAAATATATGTTATTTTAATATTTTAAAGAGAATTCTGTTTCATTCTTCTTTATAACAGTAAGAATTCATCTTCACATGCATTTAAAATAATGGAAAATTAGATTCCTATCTCTCAGGAAGCCATTTCAAAATAATACAAAACAGATTTGTAAAACCTGTTCAACCCAGTCTGTTTTCTACTGTGCCTAAAGTATTACAAGTGCTAAGCATGAAAGGCTCATTAAGAAGAACTTTTGCTATTATCTCATTAAATAAGCATCAGTGCACAAAATAACATGCAACATACATATTTGAGACACTCTCTATTAGGAAAATTACCAAACTCCTTAGAAACTTCAGAAACTCTCTAATCGTCTACAACCCCTTATGCATCTGATATCTCAAAAAAAACCCTAAAAAAAGTAAACCCTAAAAGTCTTACGAGTTTGCTTTTCCAGAACATATAAAGAAAGAGGTATGATTTCATGGTCTGAGTATGAAACTGGAAATCATATCTTACATAATAATTTTCCAGGACAGAAACTAACCAAAGTGTCCTGATCTTCCCCCAGTACAATGGAAGTAAATTAATTTATACTGGATTGATCAAATCTGTTTAGTTTACAAAGAATACATGAGACAGTTGGTTTCTAGGAGTGAGTTTTAGAGAGCAGTAAAGCACATGTTTAGCTACATGCTAAAACCAACTGAAATGACATTGCTAGTTACTGAGAAATTCATGGCTGCAAAATTTTTATTACTGGATAATTTATCTAGCCTGGCTAGAGAACAGTTTCAGGTAAAACAGAAACCAAAGGACATTAATAATTGTAAGAAATAAGTATCCAATTCTCCCTAGGCAAACAGAACTTGCACAACTTGCAAAGTTTATAAAATTATGTACATAATTTGTAACATTATACTAATGTAAATGTAAATGTAAAACACAGACTGATTAAAAAAAAACAACTATAAGCTGGCCAAGGCCAGTGACCAATCCAAAACAAAACAAAAAACCAAAACAAACAAAAAAACAAACAACAACAAAAAAACCCCACCAAACCAGAAAACTTGACCAAAGTCTTGAGAGACAGAAGTCTGTATATATGCTGCTCTGACAGTTTAATTGAATCAAGATATATAAAGATGCACAGACAGTAAAACCAGATAAAATGCAAAAAGAAATCTGTAAAATATCAAAGCAAATATTACCATTGGCTTTACCTTAGCTTTTTAATGAATTTAAATTCTCCAGTTAGGTGTTTTTATACATTTTAGAATTAAAACTAACATTCAAAAAGACACTTTAAGTTTTTTCAGGGCCAAAGGGACACAAGTTTTTTCTTCAAATCAATAGTCTAGCATTTACAGTCAATTAAATGGAGAATGAAAAGTTAGCAAATGAACTCCTAAGGAATATTAATTATATGCTGTCCTTACATATTGAAATCTGTGTTTGCTATGTTTTTATACAGAAATATCTTCATATAATCTCCCAAAGCAAAATTAATCATGCTTTCTAGCAGACCATTATCAACAAACTCTACCATGAGAGAGAAGAAACAAAATATTGAAAAACAGGGACTGCAAAACAGAGTCTTAATGTATGAATTGCCTTCTTCTTGCAAGAGAATGACTACTTCTGGCACTTTTTGCAGAAAAGCTTCAACATTTGCCACATTAGTCCTTTTATCTTCCATCAGCATCTGTAGTCAACTACTGCTTTGGTCAAAGGTCCCATGTTTTCTTTTAATTTTATTTTAAGAGAGGAGGCACAAACTCAGAGAAAAGAGTTGTAAGTCCTGCAGTTTCAAATTCCTTTTGTAACTCCTTCAGTGTTGAGTATTCTTTGACTTCAAACGTCTGAAACCTACATTGTAAAAGGGAAACTCATTAACATGTCCAGATTTGTCAAAATGTAATTATCAATTCTGTTACTTCTCTATCCACAACAGTACTAAATTATACCTTTTATGCTGTGATTGTACTTCTGTCTCACACAGTACACTCATCATTTTCTCTTTGCATTTCTTTCCGCTTGAGTCCACATCTACCTTACAAGTTTTCTGAAGAATCAAATAGTCCTAGGTGACAAAAAAAAACCCAAAACAACAAAATATTAAATGTCACTGAGTATCTTCAAAGTTTAGTAAAAAATGCAAAAATTCATATGAAACATACAGACTTTTTTCCAGAACATAGCAATCAAACTTCGAAAGTGCCCATCCCAAACAGTGCATGACTGCTTCTATTCATCAGTTTGAAGTTAAGTGCAGGCTTAAGTGATTTAGAAAAGCCAAAACATTCTCCTCCAACATTGCCACAAAAACCCACCTAATGCAGTGGGACTTCATAAGTATAGACAAGAATTTCAAAGCCCGGGCATGCACAAGGAGCACCAAGTCAAGGAAAGAAACAGTTATTAATGAGTTCGAAATATGTCTGTTATTCATTTCACACCACAATTTTTTCTGCTTTCTGGGGCATTTGGGAAATACAGCAAACTGAACCTAGGCATATTTAAGTCAGGAAACAAAGGGAATACAGGGGTATAGTTGCAGTGAGAAGCAAAGCAATACAGACCACAGGTCTACAGGTATCACTGGTTTCTTTCATACAGAATATCTTCTTTCTCTTAAATCAGAATAAAGTTGCTGGGCCTTCCTATTCTCATAACGATCAATTTGCTTCCAAAACCATTAATCTCAGAAAAACACAGACAAAATATTCAGACATGTAGGCTTCAGTGGTAAATCGATAGAACTAGTCAACATTCATTGTTCCTGCACCTTAATGCTGCTCCTGTCACCCTGAAGAAGAATCAATATTATCTTGCCCATGAACATCAGTCTTCCAGTCAGCCTTAGATCTGAAGCCCATTTTTCCACAGTTTTCACGTATTTTGCCTTTCCTCTCATGTGATCTAAATGCAAAAGGAGCATCCAGATACCATCTTCTGTACTTGTTCCTTTTGAGGAAGTAGTTTTTTCACTGCAAACTGTTGCTGATTGCTTAATGACATCTTTAAGATGCTGCTGTATCCAAAGAATCAGATCATGTACCATGGGTTCAGAAAGATGCTTCTTTGCTTGTTCAAGTAATTTATCTTTCACATCCATACATTGGGCCCTTGTAAGCTGGTCTGAGTTAACAGAAATATCTGGTACAGTTGATGGATAACTGACTGGTAAATGAAATAACAACTTTAAAAGTACATCTGTATCCAGAAGTTCTTTCACAGTGATTTGAATTCTAAATGAGATTCCATGCATCTCTGGAAAATATAAAAAAAAATAAACATTAATAGTTTGTTTCACGGTGAAATACACATATATCATTAGGTCATGTTATTTTCTCTAACAATTCCACTCAAATTACTGCAATCTCATACAAAATAAGGGTGTGGGGTTTTTTTGCAGGGTGAGGTGGTTGCACCCAATGACTTAAGCTATACCTGCAGGGAATCCTGAAATGAAACACTTCCACAACATAGTAGAAGGAAAGTTATTAACACATTCTAAAAAGTATTCATGCATTTTGGCTCTTTCAAAGTCTAGAAAAGCCAGGAATAAAGAACTGTCTCTCTCAAACACATAACTCAGTTTCTACAGCTCAATAGCAGCAGCAAGGACAACTGAAAATAGAGACTTTTCTGGATGGACTCAGCACTGCCCTAACTTTGCTCCTAAAGAAATCTGTAAGACTTCTAACATCAATACCAGGCAAACAGACTTGCACTGGGTATTTTTGAAGATAACCAGTCAAAAGCAGTTCCACACTAACAAGAGACTTGGAAATAAAGAAGTAGGATTCTTTGTCCCCTACAACTTGCAGAGAAAATATGCTTAAATCTTGTCTGTCAACTCCTCTACAACGGTAGGACTGATATAATGAAAACAACTCTGCTGGATATCTGACCCTGGATACTACATATAAAAATATGCATATACTTATATAAATCTATGTTTATATATCTGCATATTTACTCAAAACCTTAGCATCTACTTTAGAACAGAATTATTTTCAGAGTGAAAAGGATACAAATAGTATGCAGCAGGAAGGGCTAAAGACCACATCCTCCTAATAAACCATATAATCAAAGATGCTTAATATGAAAATTATGTACAGTCATTCCTGAAATAAAACCTTTCGCGGAAAAACAATACAAAACTTGACAAAGTGAGAAGCGAGGACAAAGACCTAACCTACTTTTGCTCCTCTGCCATGAAGTAAGATGGTATCAATTAGATAAAAGATGATCTTCTTCAGATGTTCTCTGCTTCACCCCTTTGATGCATTCTAAGCACTTCACTCCTTTTCTTTAAAAAATTGCTAAAATGTCAGGGTGATTCATTCTATGAGGGCAAGAGAAGCCAGATTTGAAAGGCAGATTAGAACAGAGCTGAGTTTCAGAGCAGCTCTTTTGAAGTGACTTGTGTTCTCCCCCTACCTTACCTTACCTTCCTTTACATGACAGTCAGTTGAATTATGTTTGATTAGTATTGCTGACACTGCTAACCAACCTCAGTGCTCTCCATGACTTTATATTAGAAACTTACTAAATAAGTGAAAGGACCAAAAAGTTACTTGGACACCCAGAAGCACTTTAGAGAGTAAACCTAAGGGCTTGTTTCCAAACCTCCTTCCTGTATCATACAAAGAACTCTCTAGGTCAAGGCAGTCACAAAATAAAATCAGCAAACCCTCCAAACCCAACAATAAAAGTCTAGCAGTACTATAAAGAAGTCTCCAGATATCTACAGATCATCACTGCCTAAAGAGAGTGAAATCCAGTGCTGAAAGTAGCGATGCAAATTGAGAATTAAACAAAACTACACCCAACCATGCCCATACCTACAAGGACTACGTGTCAAAGTGCTGTTCCCTGCCAACACAATTCATGTCCAGTCTTCCAAGACGCTATGAAAGGTTCCAGGCTATTTTAAAGGCAAATGCTCCTCAGAAAAGCACAAGCCTTGGAAGAGACCCTCGCACATGGTGAGTAGCTATGCAGGAGGACCTTGCCATTCAAATCCGTCTTCTGCTGCCCAGATAAATGTTTCTTCCTGGGTACTAATGATGATGGTTCCTCTGCCATTACACTCAGCACACACAGCCATAGACGCAAGAAGAAAAGACTGCGCTGCACCTCCTGGGACCCCCAGCACCCTCTGGGCCACCACAGAGGGTCTCTGCACACCCCTGAGCATCACACCAGACACAGACAATGCCTGCTGCCCCACCTCCTTCAGCCACCCCTTACTCATGGCAGCCCCACCAGGTGCAGCCAGCTGGAAGCAAGCTGCACCTGGCTGAACGGTAGGAACATTATTGTACTCCTGCCTGTGAATCACTTCATTTTCAGCTACGTTGTCAAGAGATTTTAAAATATACAACCTATATAAGAGTTGAAGAATACTACTCTATTGCCAGCTTAATTACAGTGACAGAAAAACATGGTACTTTTCTGATAATCCTCATAGGATTTTTTCACTAGCTTGTCATAACGGATCTCACCAACTCAGAAGTAACCTAGGGATAAACAGACAGGCCAACCCTGCCCCTTCAACAAGGGCCTCCTGCTGCAGTGATCTTATTCTTAAGCCTGCAACAATCTCACACCTTTCCCTGTGATGACAAACTAATCCAAAGGAAGCAGTGCAGCCTCGCATCCCAAAGTGTATCACCCTGAGCCATCGCAAAAAGCCCAGCCGCACTCATTTACATCTGCTTCAGACTCACTTTTAAAAAAGGAGAATCAGTTCAAAACCTACAGCATCCAAAGTTTATTTTAACGTTGTAGCGTCCATTTTCTGCACCAGCGCTGCAGACGCCGGCAGAACAAAGAGCAAACCACCGGCACCCTGCACAACCTGGCTCCAAAGGAACATTTCCTTTGTTTGCACATGCTACAAGAGCTGAGTTGTCTTCACAGCAACATGGTGATTATTTCTGAAATAAAAGGTTGGGTATGACTGTTCCGCTGGCATTTAATGTGCTAATCAGACTAAACTCAATATATTTTAACTCATTTTCCCCATAGCTGCATGCTTATCAGTATATTTAGCTCTAGCATACTTCAGATTTTTTCTTATGTTCCATGTCAACCAGACAGATATCCCCCTCCTCTCCTGCCCAAAGGCATTTTATGCAACACATGCAGTCTATTTTTAAATTCAGAAAATGGCACCTACTAACGTACAAGCTTAGAATATCTAAATATATTTTTATAGCAAGCTTGGTGAGCAGACTAGAAGAGAACAGATTAACAATTAAATTATGGATTTCTATCTGTAACACTAATCTTTGCAAATAGATACGTAAGGTAAAAAAGATATGCTGTAATTAGTTTATTTAAATTCATCAACACATTGGTTTTAATAAAAACACATTTTACATTCTGAATACTTCATTGTTAAATTCCAGAAAGCCAAAGTTTTTACCATACCAAGAGACCTGCAAAAGAATTTTCTTACATTCCTCAAAACCATAAATCCCCAATGGCCTCCTTTTTGATCCTGTGGATTTACACACAAATTACTCTTAATATATTAGAGATATCACAACATAACAGTCTTACTGGAAGTTATGTCTATGCACCATCTGTCAACGATAATTTATATGGTTCAAAGAGATAAAGCAAATATAAGCTAGTGACTACAGCAAAAGTTAATTGTATACAGACTAAAGGATTCTGTAGCCCCAACATAGGACAGGTAAATTCAAAAAGTAAGAAAAATACCAATAATCATTGTTGTAAATAATCTTTTCAATTCCAACAGAAAACTATGGAAATCAACCCTAGATACCTGATCCTAACATATCATGAACACAGCCTGGCTAAAGGCCCTACGAGGTCATGTAAAGTCAATATAAATAAAATAGCCTGTTCACGTTCTGCATTTGTGGCACCTCATTTTATGTTCCAGGAAGGCTTCTAAGCCTTTTACATTCTGGTAACTTATAAACACAAAATCATTCTTCCATATATGAAGCACAAAGAAGAATGTGCATATATCTGTCTAACAGATCTGGAGGAACAGACATGTACATGCACTGTTCAGGTACGTTCACAGTTTTTAAAATTAACATCTCATAAACCTGGATACTGTATTTTCAAACTATGCCCAAAATAACATTATTGAACTTTTTCATTTTAAGAAGATAAAGCTCAGTTGAAACATTTCAATCATATTTTAAAAATACAACCTTATAAAATGGCAGAATTACACGCCTACACTGGAGCAAGAGGTGTGTCATGCAGATCTAGACACAAAATTCTACTTTTAGATTACCCCAGTTAATTGTGATCCCTGCAAACACTGATGCCTTCATCCTTCTGAGGCTGTCTACACACACAGTTTTTAGTTAAAGTGAGTCGCTCAAAAGCAGCCATGTGCAATTTCACACAACAAAGCCATTTTCATGGAATAACAGAATGGCTGACGTTGGCAAGAACCTCATCCAACCTCTCCCCTCAAGCAGGGCCATCTACAGTAGGCTGCCCAGGACAATGTCCAGATGGCTTTTGACCCCAGGGAGGGAGACTCCACAACCTCTCCGCAACCTCTTCCAATGCTCAGTCAGCCTCACAGTAAGAAAGTGTTTTCTTAATAATGCCAGTCCTCTCAGGCTGAATACACACATATGCAAACAAAATCTGACAGCAGACCACTGCATCCATCTTTAACAGCATTCCCCAGGACTTCAGTGAAGTCCAACCGGCAGGAAGCCACTTGCTGTCCATCACTGTGCTGGGGAGCTGAGCGGCACTCTGCAATAGCTCCTAGGGCACCAGGGAAGAGTGATACAAGAATATGGGTGTATTCTGTGCATCTGTGTGAGTATCTCTCTCCAACAAATATGCAAGAGTTGTCACATCCGTGGTATGCACTACACAAAATTTACTTATGATCTGGATCTCAAACAGACACGCAACACTTACATATGCCCCCTGACATTTAAGCCTGATAATAACTGCTGTTGTACACTGGAACGACTGAAGGTAGTTCCTTGCTGAAGGGGCATCTTCACATCACCACACAGTACAGACTGATAAATGTCATCCCTTAACACGACGTTCTGAACAGTGGCTAGTGCAGAAACCGTGAAGTAAAGGTGTCTACACTGACTGCATTCCTACCCTATAGCAACCAGCAGCTGACAAGAGCAAGGAGTACAGACCATCTGAGCAGTCCACCAGCACCAGACACACACATCAGCCTCAACACCCTGTAAAACCTACAGCCATACACATCTTGCTGAAGCTGGAGAACACCTGGCACATCATAGGGCTCAGACTATTACCTTACCCCAGAAAAACAGAAATTATCCAAGCACAGCATGGTCTCACGCTGATCTCATACACAGCAAAAGCTACACCCCTATTAAGTATTACAGGATAAACACCTGGTCCTGTTACACGTATGAGATTCACCTGGTTATCTACCTAGGTAAGAGCCAGCCCCTTCCCAGCGTGGCCCTTCCCTGCTGCCAGTGCCTGCAGGCGTTGGGCACAGCCGAGACAGCGAAGGTCGCTAACTATAACCGAGCAGGGCCCGCTGGGCTCCGTGCCCTAAGCGCGGCAGCACCGATACACGGCGGGTCAGGGACAGGGATGGGCGACGAGGGCCAACAGCGAGGGACTGAGCCGCCCGCAGGGCAGCGGGGCCGGGCCGCCGCCAGGGCAGCGGGAGGGTCCGGGCCGCGTCACCTGAGGTCGCAAGCAGCTCGCAGCCGCCCGGTTCGCAGTAGATGGCGGCGAGCGCCGACAGCTCCTCCCGCGCCAGCTCCGACATGGCCGCCGGGGGCGGGCGCGGTGCCCCCTGCCGGTCGCGTGCCCGGCACCACGGACGCCAGGGGGCGCCGTCGGCCCGGCCCGCGCCGCAGGGACGCGAAAAAAATGGCGGCTCCCGTCGCGCGTCTTGCCCTTCTTCCCTGTCCCCCTCTGCGTCCCTCCCTGCCCCGCGATGCGCAGCGCTGTGCGACCTTCCGACCCCCGGTCAGCCTCGGGCCCTGGGCGGTCCGCCGGTGCGCTGCCGCACATACCAATACACAAAGATTTACTGGAATATAAAATTAGGCTTCTTGTATTCAGTCATTGTAGCTTCACAATCCCGTTACCAGCCATCACACCGAGGTCTTGCACAGCCGACAGCACCGTTAACTCCCAGGCATAATGATCTCAAACGTTCAGTATATTCCTTATTATAAAATCACTTTTAAAAGAAAGCGATGGGGGGGTTACTTTTCAGGAGAGTATACCCTGCTATTTCTATGTCTCTAAATTCAGTTGAAATAACAAGAAACACGAGAGCGCTGGGCCAGGGAGAAGAGGGATGCTGTGACGGAGCGGCACTGCCGGGTGCAGGCCCTGCCGCTGTCAGAAGGCTGTGCTGAAAATTAGCCTTAGAAGTGCCTCATTATATTATTAAGAGCTTTCTCGCCCCGGTCTTTCCCCCTTCTCTTCATATACTTTGCATATTCCATTTTACATGTTTAAATAAAAAAGTCGATGTAAATGTGTTTTAAATTGGCACTATCACAAGACATGGAGGTCCCTATGAATAAGTTACTGCACTCTGACATTTGGAAGTCATCAAATAAGACAGTATAATGTCAGCTTGATATTTTTCACACTATGAAAATATCAGCTTCATGTCAAAGATCTAAATTCCATCTTAATGTAATAAGTTTTCTTGTATTCACAGACAACTGAAAATGCTAAATATTTAAATTTGAAATGAACTTCTACTGGCCTTCATATCCCATTATCAATAAATTGAAGGCCAAGATCTTATTTCCCCTTTTTTTTTAATGATTTCTTCAAACATGGCAGTGTCGATAGAATAGCATTAGCCATACTCTTTAAATGGATGCTTTCCTATCAGCATGTGGCAAAGTTAAAAAAGTAAAGCTCCACTTTTTAGAGTCAGCCTACATTAAACCAGCTCCAGCATCCTGTCATAAAACGATTGTGCCACCAGTATCTTCTACTTTGGCTGACAAGCCAAACAGAATGCAACCTTTCATACATAGGTAAGATAAATCTTCCCAGTGTTATTTGCAAAAGTAGTGTCTTTTGCTTTCCACTCACTACAATTACAGCCTTAATCAATTAGGTGTCGCTTCGACTAGTGATTATATATAAAACAATGCATTTAGACTTGTTTTTCCCCTAACTTGAGTGGTGAATCAGGGGAGGAGTAGACAGATATTTGGGAAAAAAATGTCTACCTTTTTACCATTTTTTCCATGCCAGCCACTCAGGCTTCTCCTCTACCACAACTGCATGCAGTCCTAAAGGTGTGTACTCCAGAAGGCATTAAAGGACCAGTAGGAACAGTGTAAAAATCACTGCAGTTGCCCATTTTGGGGTCACAAAACAGACACTAATGAGGAACTCATAACCACAGCAAAGGTGGTGGATAACCAGTACAACACAAACCACATCCGTCTCTGGCACTGCTGTAAGACAACTGCAGTTCCCATATTTTCTGCTACAACAACTTTGCCAGCTCTACTGTAGCCAGAACGGCATTCTAACCAGCTAGAACTGTCCTTACATGAGTTAAATAGCACTGCTTTTTCTGATACGTAAGAAAGAAGGTACCATTTCTGTAATAACTGCGTTATTGCAATGGTAGAAGTTTTCCCAAAAGTGGCTTGTACAAAAGTGGCAGAGAGAAACCAACATGAAAACCTATAAAATTCTCTCCAAATAAGCTAAAAGGCAAAAGCTTGAATAAAACAGAAGGAGAAGCAACCCCAGTAATTGTGAAAATACATGATAAATCATGGAGGTGTTTTCCCACTGGTATTCTCAAGTACTGCTCGTGCAAAAGCTTGGGGTTTGGTGTTTTTTTTTTTTGGCTCAAAGCATGTAGTTTTCTACTGTTGGAATAAACTCATTTAACAAAAAAATCTACATTGCAAAGTAAAACTGCCAAGATTTGCATGGTTTGTTCTAAGGTTAAATTCAACATTTCCATGAGGTTTTGCTTTTCAGTTTTTGAAAATGAACTAATAAACTCTCATTGATATATAAAAAAAAGACCTTCTCCAATTTGAGAAAAAACAAATCAGAGAAAAAATATTTTCTATTACTTTTCCTTTAGAAGGAAGTTTTTCAAGGATTTGTGATCTAGCAGTGCTTTTTAAAGGCACTTGCATTTATCCTCCATGCATCAAACTGCTCTAAGTCAATTCCCCAAGACACTTAATCTTTTGGCAGATGGAAACTCATTTTGAAAGTGATCTAATGATCAATTAAAGCATTAGCTGTCTCTACGGACAGGAGGTTTATGGGGTCACAGTCTTCAGAAGCTGCAGCAAGAGCAACAGTATGTTAGCAAAATAGCTAAAACTTTCTGTAGTTACCACAAAATTGGCAAAACATTGGAAAACAAAAACCATGACTTTTTTTTTTTCATAATATGTTGAAATTTTCATAATATGTTGAAAACAAATTAATGGCTTCTATTTTACACAAGAGGCCATGGTCCAAACTGGACATAGGCAAAGGAAATGATCTTTTAAATGTTTTTAATGAGCCCTAATAACAATCCCAATACTTCCAATAAATTTGCATTATCCTTTGAAAACTGGATTCATTCAGACTCCAGTCACAAAATATATAACCCATGCTGCAAATATGCAGATGTGAGGAGCTGCCATCAGAATCAGTGGCTCACTGGTAGATAATGCATCACTTTGTGCATGCTCAAGGCCTCACAATAAGGTCTGGAGTCAAGAAGTGTACTCTGCCCAGAGGTTTCTCTGCAATTTGATGTACATAAGACCAAACAGATCTAACTGTCACATTCATAAAAGAATTTAAGATTCTTTCTCTAGGAGTCTGGCAAGCCATTTCTTCTTGAAGGAAATGCACATAATAGTGATTAGCCATCTAACATAAACTAAAAAGGTTGCTTTTTACAACATGACATATCTAGTATGACCACAGGTTCTTAATGCTAACATTGATGAATCAATACGTATTTAATTCACTCCATGAAGTTCTTTGCCAGTAATTTACTTTGTACAAAGGTAGAATAATAAATAGAACATATTTTCTTTCAGTGAGAGTAAAAATGCATGAAGTTGCCTACTAAAAATTTGCAGAAAACTAGCAATGCTGTGCATTTTTTAAAAAAACATATGTAAGAACTTATGAGTAGGGAAAGCTATGACACTGAAGACATTAGCACAGATAGCACTGAGTAGTATATTCTGCCTTCAAAAAGTTCAGCTTCCACATCAAGTTCCACATCTGCTTGCGGAACCTTACTACATGGACTCTCCTCCAGGTGTAAGCACAGGGAGACAAAAAATTAATGTGTAAAAATTAATTTAGTAAGTGTTGGGAACAGATCTCTCTAAAAAGTGGTGGTTTTGAAAGAGGCATTTCTACTCTATAAAAGACAAACATTAGTAAGAGTTCAAAAATTACACAATGCTCCTTAGTTTACCAGTTCGTTTTTAGCTGCTGAGCTACAGCAGTGTTAGTATCCACGCCTCCATCCTTTGAAATTTGGCACATTAGCTATTATTCCCCCACACTCTGGAATAAAAAAAAATGGGAGTGCATAAGATGACAGTCTATTTATGACCATTTTGAGAACACTGAGAGATCCTTTGCCACACTCACACCTTTTGAAGGCAAAACAGTATTCATCACCACATTTTAGACTTCAAATTTACAGAGCATATTAAAGTCCTAATGGCAAATACATTATGTAAACACTAGAGAGCATTTCACACTAAACTAGCATACCTCTTTCACCTCATAATTCAAAAACAGTAATTCAAAACACCTTGCTTTGGCAGTAAAAAGTAGCAATAATCAAGAAGGGACACAACTACCTTCGTACAGCAACAGTCTCTTTCTTTTACAGCAAAGCAGGGCAGAAATTCTACGGCTTAGCCAAAAAATTCTGAGAGATTTAAGCTAAGACCATTGGAATGATATGAAAGAGAGCAGCAAAGGTGTTTCTAGGGGGCAGGGGAAAAAAAAAAATAAGTGAAGGGTGACAGAGCTACAGCTCCCCCTTCCAAACTGCCTGCTACTACATTGCAAAGGCAAAATATTACAAGATGACTCAGAGCCAGGAACTCCAGGCATGCCAGAAGGGCAAGCCTCTAAGTTACTCCTCAACTACAGAGCGCTCATGTTGGCCAGGTACCAACAGGACAAGCTGCAGAAGAGTTGGGTCAACATCACTGAGTAGGGAGGGTATTGTAGGCACAACAACCACACAGTCAGTGCCTCCACACAATGGCAGCACTGTGCCAGACATCCTGACTGCAGGATATTTGAATGCAGAATGGTCTCCTGCTCCAGGTGATACAGATCAGTATCACTTTTGATCACATATAGATGACCCAAGACCTGATTACGGCTGGAGTGTTATGCTGGAGCCCTTTTCTATCAGTCACAGAGACTGCAGTTTCTGAGCACCCCAATATCCTTGAAGAACCACATACATCTTCAGTGGCAGACCAGGAGGGCACTCCTAACTCGTTTTATCTGCAAGAGTCAAGCAAAACAGGTCAAATAGGGCTTTGACACAGTAAAGCAGAACATAGGTAAACTTCAGATATCTAAATACAAAACTAATTTAAAAAGTGACCCATCTTTAGTGAGT